GGCAGTGTGTCAGCTCAGTGGCTGATTCCAGCAGCTGCGCAGTTGAAAGACTGGCCCGGGGCTATGGGAAACGCTGTGGGCTCCCGGCAGAGGTGTTAAAATTCCGACTTCCCAAAGACCTGACACCAATTACCCCAGGATCTCAGGCAGTGGGTCAGGCCTCAGTGGCTTCTGAAGCTTCCAAAGCATTCTAACGAGCAAACAGGGTTGAGAACCGCTTCCACAGGCAAACGCCCTCATGAGAAATTCAGGGGGGCCTCGGTGCCCCTGCCTGCCCTTCCCGGGACACCGCCCTGCAGGTGCCCGCCTCCGGGGAGCCGCTGGGCTGAACCCGCCCCTAATCGTTGCTGCCACTACGAGGAGCAGTGGACAGGTGTCACTGTCTAGAGCGTGCGCGATGGGCTGCACATTGTTGAGTGGTCAAGGCCGAGGGCATTGGCTCTCGTTAACCTTGGGGGTGAGAAGGCTCATGACCTACCGCCAGCACCGCTCACTCAGATGACACGGTGTCGTTAACTCCTCAGCACGCTGTGTTCGGTCCTCAGAGCTCCCACAGCTGATCTGTGTGCCCCGGGACCTACCTCCCCCCTCCCCTCGCCCCAGCCCGCTGTCTTCATGAAATCGGCTTTCCTTTTAAGGTTCCACACGCCGCACTGTCTCCGTCTGGCTCACGTCACTCAGCACAGTGCCCCGGGCTCAGCCGCGGCTGCCAACGGCAGACATGGGTTTCCAGGACCAAGCTTGGGTATTTCCTTGCTCTTTTCAAAGAACCAGCTTTCGGATTCACAGTCATAATCCCGGAAAGGTCAGCGGCGGGAAAGCCCTTTACTGAGGGGAGTTCAGCCTCGTTCTCCATCAGCTTCAAACACCACGGCCCGTGCCGGCCTGAGCGGAGCCCGGTGCCCGGGAAACATGGCTCAGTCCTTCCTGCCCACCTTCCTGCCTCGGACAAGCGCTGCCCGATTCACCTGCTCAATGGCCTTTCTGCCCCGAGCACCACGTGCCCTCCCGACGCCGGGTGCAGCGCGAGGAGGAATGAACTGGTACACCCCACATCGGAGCCTGGCGTCCTTACCGGAGACCAGACATAAGCCTGTCCCGTGCCCCGTGGGCCGCACCTGCTCACCGCCTCTCTAGTCGGTGAGAGGGAACCGGACCACCTTCGGCACCAGCACGGCCGCCGCCATGTCCTGACACGCTGGCTGCTTTTACAGCCCGAGCCCCTGGGTGGCCAGCTCCCCCCGGAAGCCCTGACCACGGAACTTAGGCCTGTTTTAGACACACATGTGGTCACAGGGGGACCCAGTGGTATTACGACCCATGGCCCCACAGCAGATGACACCTCAAGTAGCTGACTCCGCAGGCAGGCCGCTGCGCATTCGCAGGGGTGTGTCACCAGGTCGTTTCGCCCCCGGAACTGGAGGCAGGCGGGAGGCGAGTTCACCCTGGCATGTGCCCACCCACACTTCACAGTGAGAAGTGTTTCTGCAAATCCAACTGGAAGCAGCACCTTGCAACGTAACCTCTCCAGAAACGCCAGCGGGCAGGGCGTACGCGCACCACACTCCTGCCTCTGATGGGGCTGCAGCAGGAGCGGGTGCAGGTGGGGGTGGGGAATGGGAGGGAAGAAGCAACAGGGCTGAACTCCCATGTGGGAAAGCTTCTCTCGGATAACATCCCGCCACCACCTCTTAAAACTGAAGAATTCTAGTTACTAACCCACGCCCCAGTGACGGGCAGACGTCCTGGTGGGTCGCAGGAGCTGGGGCTCAACTCGGAGCTGAACACCCGGTCCAGGACGTTCCCAGGGTCAGTCAGCAGTGTCACAGGTGTGTCTGTCTGTGTGTGTGTGCACACGCAAGGGACGGGAGAGGACCAGCTGGCGCCACCCGACATCCCGAGCTCTGCAGAATCCGTGGCCCCGACACAAAGGCAGTAAATGAGTCAGACTTCACAGCATCTTGTACAGCAGCCAGTGACTTTAATGGAAGGAACCATCAGACACCGCCCGCCCCCAAGCCTCCCAGCCGACAGTGCTGACAGTGGCTTCTTCATTAAGGTGAAGGCGTGAAGGTGTTCAAATCAGATTCAGCTCATTTCACATGAACATCACAAGGGCACTGTCCGCAGATCTCACTCGTACAAACCAACCCCGCGGTACACACCTGCTCTCAGGCACCTTCTCCGAGGAGACGTGAGGACGAAGAGCCTGCGCCTCGAGCTGGGGCCTAGCCAACCACCACGACGTCGTCGCTGGTGAACTCGTAGTAGGGAACCTCGAGGTTGAGGGGCGCAGGCCCCTTCCGGATCCTGCCAGAGGCGTCATAGTGGGAGCCGTGGCAAGGGCAGTAATACCCACCATAGTCGCCCGCGTTGGCAATGGGCACGCAGCCGAGATGCGTGCAGACCCCGATCAGGATGATCCACTCGGGCTTCTTCACGCGCTCCAGGTCGTGCTGGGGGTCCCGCAGGTGGGACACGTCCACGGCGGCCTCCTGATCCACCTCCTTCTGGGTGCGGTGGCGCACGAACAGCGGCTTGCCTCTCCACTTGAAGGCCATGTTCTTGCCCTCGGGGATGTCGGACAACTTGATTTCGATCTTGGACATGGCCAGCACGTCGGCCGAGGCGCTCATGCTGGAGACAAACTGGGAGACCACATTCTTGGCGGCGTAGGCGGTGGCCACCGTCGTGGTCGCCGTTACCAAGTAGGAGAAGCCCTTCCTGGCCTCGCTGCTCTCCTTGGAGGACTTGGTGCTGTCCTGCACCTCGGTGCGGCGGTAGTCGGAGAAGTCGGGCACTCTGACGTCTGTGTGGGAGTAGCGGACAGAGGCAGGGGCTGCAAGGCAAACGGAGGGGGAAGCACAATTAGACACCAGGCAACAGACCTGTATAAGTTCATGAGCAAGAATCAAATTATAAAGATGTGAAAAACCACTCACTGGCCTCAGGAATGGCCAACGAGCAGTCTAGCGTACAGAACACCACAAGCGGAATGAAGCCACCACGACCGACCACACTGGTTTGGATCGTAAGACACTGCGCACACGGCGGCCTCCTTACTGAGCACCGCGGAGTCCGCATTCACAGCGACTCGGCGTCGAGTTGGAAGGTCAACTAGCACTGAGTGAGCAACATTTTAAACTCCCCGAACCCAAGGTGCGGGACATGCTCCACAGCTGTGTGACGTCTCCCACCCTCTCTGGGTTAGGGGGACCCTACATGCACCCAGTCTGCGATACACTGATGTGTGAGATCAGCTTGTAAACCCTCTCATTGCCTTTCTGTCTGTTGCCTGAAAGAGCTGCTACAAACTCACAAAATACTCATTACAAGACAACAGACAGCCCCCAGGCCTGCAGCATAACTTCAGCTGCAGAAAACTTAGCGATCTCTCATTAGTATTGCTTGAACTTCAAGTGAAAGCCCTGTGGGCAGGAAAGGGTGCCCTTATCAGAATAAGCAGCCATCAAAGTCACATCACATCTCCAAGTCCCAGTCAGGTCAATGCAGCGGGGGCGACACCTCTAGGAGCAGGCCCCGCCTCTCCTCCCACGGCTGGGTCTCAACGGCCACCATGCAGGCCACAGGCCAGATACTCATGTCAAATGACTGTTAAAGAAAAAACAATGACTGTCCGTGTAATACTTTGGATCTAAGTCATTCATTTTTTACTTTATTTTTTTAAAGATCACATCCCGCTGTCCTATAGCATTTTTAAATGTCTGGGAAAAATGAACTTACTGGCATCACATCTAAGCATGTTTCAGGAAGCAAATCTCTTTGCAAACTGCACTTTCATTTTAGGACATTTGCCAAGTTTCCCTGTTTAGAAAGTGGAACAGTAAAAACCCCTTTTTTAGAAAACGTGCTGTTTCCCAAATAAAGTGTATTTTCGTAGAAGCTGCAGTTCTACGGGCTCTCCAGGCCCATCACCGACGGGAGCCGACAGGTGCTCACACACAGGGAACCCATCAGGAGCCCTCGGTGCGCGGTCCTGGCTAACCCAGCCGTGTCCGGGGGAACCAGGACACAGGCAGTGGCGTCACCTGAGGTACCACCCTCCTCCACCTACGGCCAACCTGCCAGAGGCTGGGGACGGGGCAGAGATGCACTGCTTTCCCTCAGCATCACCTGGGATTGCACAGGAGATACGCGTCGTACCTACATTTCTACACCGAAAACGGTAGCACGGCCTCAACCGTGGAACAGCACACAGGAAACAGAGACACCAGCGAGGGCTGGGGCAGGCTCCTCTGGAGACCTGTGGGCAAGGCCCCGCTGTCCACCCCGTTCTGTGCAGGTCACTTCACGGGGCTGCACCATCGCCAGCGCCGGGAATGAAACGCCAGCAAGGAAACCACCCTCTAAGGGCTCCCTGAACTGTGGCCGGCACCAACAGCAAAGGTGCCGGCCAGACTCGGCTCCAACGACAGCAAAACCAGCTGCTTGTTGCAACACCCCCTCTACCTGTCAGAATTAAGGCGTCACAACAGACCACGGGCTGTTTCTGCCTGTTCTGCTTTGTTTAAGGTGAGCTCTGGGGCACCTGGGAATCGTCCTTCTCAGCTCTGACCCACCCTTCTCTACCCGCCTCACAAACCACCTGGACAGCCTACTGTGAGCCGAGCTGCAGGCGGGAGGCGCGGGCACCGGCAGGCCGGCCTGGCAGACAGCTCCTGGGGGACAGGTCAGCCGGCTTTTAGGAGAAACCCTTTAGCCCGTGCGGCCAATCTCACGGGTGCTTCACCTTTGCTATGAAACGCTCTCCTCCCCCACGGCTTCCCACCCCATCCACAGGCCTGAACAGCTTTTCCAAACCCAATGGTGCCCCAACCACCTGCCATGTTTTCATCAGAAACATCTGGCCCCACCGTGGGCGGAACCCCAGGTGGTGGGAGCTAGAGACGCTCGCCACGCCCTCAGCTCAAGGTCAGTCACCAGCACCTTAAAGCGTAAAGGAAGCAGCAGACACAAGCTTCACGGACGGCAGGGACGGGGTACTGGGAACGAGGGGGAGTCCGCTGGGGATGCAGAGCAGGGCCGAGTGGAGGCAGAATCGTGGGGCAACGCGGTCGCCATACAGGGCAAGAGCCACCAACTCAAGTGTCACCGGGCCAGGC